ACCGTCCTGAAGCAGCCTTTCCGCTCCACCTGCCACTGCTGCCGGCCCCAGACCTCCAAGCTGAAGGCCATGCGGTTGCGATGCTCGGGGGGCATGCGGCTCACTGCCACATACCGCTACATCCTCTCCTGCCACTGCGAGGAGTGCAACTCCTAGGGACCCACCCGCCACAGCAGCGGGGGGACCGGGGTGCTGCTGTCGGCCGGGGAAGGCTCCCAGGAAGAAACCCGAGGTGAGGCCGACGCTCCCAGCGTATGATTGCAGCGAGGACAGGACTAACCAGGCTGGATCGGATCTGAGAGCTAAAGCATAAAATATGCCGGGACCCTGGATGGTGCCGGTACCGAAGTGTGGGTTGTGACAAAGGAAAAGCACGAGGACTTGTTTTTAAGAAGCCTTTCTTTTTTTCTGAAAGGATATTTTTGTGAGTTTCGTCTTCTTCAGGCTGAGCTCTGACTACAGAGAGGTGCTTTTACTTTAGGCCAAGGGCAGCGGGGGAAAAGAGAGGAAGGTCAGCTGGATGACAGCGCTGCGCTCCGGGAGTTGGTGTTCGGACAGAGGATGGGCATCAGTTCCCACACACAACCTCTTAACCTATCAATTTATCCTCCTAGTTATATTGGTCTTCAAATTAAACTGTGCTGTTGGCAAAGGTTATCTGTTACTGATCTAGCAGCCAAGCCTGGAAAACTTTAACTGTGGTTTAGCAGAAATTACAAATAAATCATTGAAAAGTGAACTGGATGTGAAATGTAGCGCTGGGACTACCCAGCCCTGGACAGCTGAAGTGATTATTTGCAGCGTGCAGCATCACAGTTCAGTGGCTGAGCGACTCCTGAAAAGTGAAAGGTCATGAGACTCATTATTTCCCTCTAAAAGTCTGGAAACGTGGCACATCACATCTGTCACAAAAGCCATTATTCAAACACTAAAAACTAATCAAAGATTAAAATGACACATACTAAATGGAGTCTTTTCTTAACTTGGGTAGGCACGTTGAGGTACAGAGCCAGAGTCACCAAAATAATGAGGAAACCTAGGACTTATTTTCATCTATAGTTCTTAGGCTATTGAGTGAGTACCATTTTGCCTTTTAAAGACAGGTAATCCCAACCACAGGGGAATCACACTGATGTGCCCATAGGAAGTTCAAGCAGAGTTTGAATCCCAGCGTTATCCAGCGGAGCACAAAGGCTGTGTTTCGATTTACCTAATGATCTGCTACCTGGTGTCCTGGTTGTCTCACCGTCCAGCTTGGCAGCTGCCCAGGGAACGGTACAGCTCTTGGCTGGGCCATACGCCCACGCGTCCTTCGTGCGCACACAAGGATGTAGGAGGCTGTGGTGGGTTTAGCGCGAGCCCAGACCTCACCCGTACGTGAAGCGGGGGTAGCCAGCACTACTCTGCAAGAAGCAAGCGAGGCCATCAGCTGCTTTCCCCTGTAGGACCACTGCAGAAAGAAATGCCCCCGTGCACTGAATGAATTGCAGTGATTGACAGGGTGAAAGGATCTCAAAATAACAAAGGGTCCCAAGTTTTGGAATGGTATTTGTAGAGAAACTCTGTCCCTCCTCCATTGACATGAGGTTTTATGAAGGTTCAGTCACAGTCTGTTGTGACGGCAAGGAAACCACGTTGCGTGTTACAGTCCTTACCTCCTTAAGTGGCAGTATACCCAGTCAGCCAGCAGCACGTCTGCGGTGCTCACATAAACCTAGCTAAGCCATTTTTCGATAGAAGTCATGAAGGTGCCGGGGAGCATCTTTGCTGCGTAAGGATTTAGGGTCAGTGCGGTTTCTATCCCTCGGAAGCACCTGCGTGCGTAGTCCCACGGTTATTCTCTGGGACAGGCTGGAGAGGCTCCCCCGCGCAGCAGCGTCCGGTGGGGCCCCGTGGCGCGTGGGGGAAGTCCTACCCCAGCCCAGCGTTCGGTCCCTCTGTGCGGTGCCACCCAGCCTGTCTGCGGCAAAGGCCACACACACAACTCGCTGACGTTGCGGGGGGTCCCCGAGGTCTGCCAGGGAGGGCAGTCGTCCTGTGGTCTACACAGGAGTTACTACGGCTGCTCGGGCAAAGCCGGGTTCCTTCGCCACTGCCTCCTCATGGCGACTACGTACGGGGCGTGACGGCAGGCAGGTGGCAGACACCGGCCTTGCAAGCCAAATCCTGGAGCTGGGTGGCTGTCCGTCAGGCGTGGAAAACAGCAAGGGACAAGTACACCCGCAGACACCGGTTAGAAAGGTTTGTGGCACATGGGAAGGACTGTCTCTGTCTTCCGGAGACGACTGGGAGATGGCCGGTTTTCAACAACACAAAGCTGTGGGCAAACAAAAGGGTGAATCAAACAGACAGAAGCTGACGGGCTCAGGCTAAAATGTCGAAACTGGGAGTGATGAGCCCCAGTGAGCTCATTAGACACCACTCATTGTTTCAGCACTGTCAGTCATTCTTTTCACATCTGATGCATGATCTGAACATCAAAGGGTGGATGGTGGGAGCGTGAGCTGGGCATTATCACCAGACTACTTTGTATGAAAGATCGTATGTGCTTCCCTTTTCCAATCTCTTTCAACCTCCAGCATCTAAAAATCCCATTATCCAAAAAAGCACCATCCCTACTGTTAATTATATATACAAAATTCCAGTCCTTATCCGAAACATCAGCAATACCTTTGATAACCAAATAACTACACCGCAAAATATGTGTGACCTCTAAGCGTGGCTATGGAGACTCTGCACACAAGCAGTGCTATGCAGTTATCTAAGGAACGGGGAATGTTTTGAGGGTAACTGCTATATCCGGCGCCAGCCCCCCCGCCCCGGGGCTGCGATGCTGCTGGCCTTCTCTGCTGGTGCAAAACGGGATGGCGGGGGCGTCACGGCGTGACACGAAATTTGGGCGACGATTTGCGGCGCTCCTGCGTGGCTGCGGGATGCGGCAGAGCAGCATGGACCCGATCGCCGTCCTCTGGCGAGGAAAGAGGAGGGGTCTGAGCCAAGACCATGCCTGAGCCAATTTAGAAAAAATGATAGTATTTATAGCGAGAGAAGAGCTTGGCTGGTATTTATTCCCACATCCCCTCGCTATCACAGTGCCAGAGCTATAATTGCTCAAATCGGTCTCACAGAAGATATTCGTGTTTCAACAAAAGCTTTTTTTTTTCCCTCTCACACCCCACATTCCTTCTGCTTTTGCTTGGTTCCTCTAATGAAATCGTTGCCTTGTGACCACAAAGGCTTTTGCCAGGCATAAATGTTGAGTTGAATTCAACTTTATCTAATTTAACTGCTGAGCCGAATAAATGCGTGGAAGGAATATAGCTGAAATTATGAATGACAAGACAAAACATACTTGTAAATAGCTAGAACTGGATATTAAACAATGAATCAAACTTTCAAATTCTCCTTTTGGCTTTGTCAGGCAATTTTCATACAAACATTTAAGAAAAGGCGAAGCTATTCTTCAAAACCAGATGCCCTGAAGTTGGTTATAAATCCGTATTTTGATAATTTTTTAACAGTATTTTAGGCAACTTAGTGCTGAATGAAGCACACAAGTGCTACCCATGTTAAAATTCAGGAGCCGTATTGAAGCAAAAGAAAACGAGACTTCAGGTAACTACTACCGAATATGGCTCATGGTGAGAAAGAGTCTAAATGGCACTTGGAAATTAAATGTCTTCCTGGTTTCTTAGCCTGACACCACTCTTAATACTTAATACTCAGATACTTAAGCTCTGTTTTTCAAGTCAGACTACTGTGTAAGTGCTTCTTTAAATTGAACAACAGGGAGGGCAATGCCTAGTTGTCCAGATAATGTTGAGGGGCTTTTTCTTTGCTAAAGCACCCTCTCACTGGGACTCAAATGAGAAGGCTTTCTCCTTTTTCCCCGCCACTGCACCTCACCGTTCAGGCATCATCTTCTCTCACAGAAAGGCTGGTTCAGCTGTGACCATCCTGTGGTTTGCTCAAGATGAGATGTGATACCGACTTTTGACTGTCACCACCCTATGCCCTCTTTTCTTTTCATTAAGTTTCTGGGTCCAGCTTGGCTTACTTTTGAAAGCCACCCGTCCCAGGAGTGGTGGTGTTACATTTCAGCTGGAGGCATTGCACTTATGGAGACCAGAGGGAAACACTAGACTTTTCCTGGCACCCTTTGCTTGTAAAAAAAGCCTTATAATGCCAATGCATTTTGTGCCTATCAGAAATAATTTGTGATTTGCCAGAGTAATAAAGCCCATGACCTAGCAAATTTTAATTACTCTGCTCCCAGTTGCAGTGGGTTTGTTAAGTGCTTAAAGCTGCATAGATACAAAAATGATTTGCTGGTTCAAGCCTTATGTGAATCATTAAGCTGAAGAACAAACTGTTTTCTTGGAGATGTCCCCACCGACTTTCCTTGCACCTCACCTTGCCCTCTGAGCTTGGAGAACTTCTACCAGACAAGAGATCCTAAGCCTGGCTGCCTCCTGGTGGCCTTTGTCAGGGCTTTTGTAAGCAACCGTCACAGCACTCATGGTGACAATAGAGAGGTGAATTTCAGTGGTGTCCAAGGTACACCACCGCCTGTGCTGGGCCTTCACATGAGCCTTAGTCGAGACCTATTCACCAAGTCCTTGCAGATCTACCATGAAGCCCTGAAATTCAAACAGGAATGTGTGGATAGCAGCCAGAATACTTTTTGTGAAAGAGGAGAAGAATAAAACGAGAGGTTACTCTACTGATTTGTGTGTCTTTGGGAAGCAGCTATGTTTCACCACCAGTTGCAAGATGGACAAAATTTAGCAGGTGGCCTGAATCACTCATTGTTCTCCTGAAGTGAAACATCACTGAAGGCGCCCAAATCCACCTAAGTCCCTCAGCTGACCACTCAAATACAGCCCTCTGGTCACATCAGGGGTTACTTGCCAGAGCCAAATAAATACCCCAGACATAAAGTTCTGCTGCTCCTTGTATAATATAAGGGATCAGGGTGATCCCATATGACGCTACATGTCTACATTTAGTCTTTGCATCTGTAATTTTGTATGGGTCTCTTATTTTTTAAGTTGCAGGTCATCCCAACTTTTGTTCCCTTTAGGGTATTGACAATTATTGGCACTTTAACAAAATTGTTATATGGTGTTTAGAAATTGTGCCATTCCTCATCTCTGGAATTATATCTTAAAATGTAGTTCTTTTCTACAGACTGTAACTGTGGGAAAAATACATCAGAAGATGAAATGCAGCAGAGGATGCTTGGGGGAACTAAGACACCATATTCTACGCTTTGATGAAATGACAGTAGGGGATTCCCTTTAGCCAAAGAGATCCCATAACTAATACTGAATTGAATAAACATTAAATGAAGTCTGAGTGGGATTTTTCAGAGGTGCTCAGCATTGACTTAATTCCACTTTTATTCACACCACAGGAG